TTCACTGATAATTTTCTGAAACTAGTGTTACCGCTTTTGTCCATATTCTAAAATTACCGCTAATTTTCTGCTGCAGCATGTTAAAATGGTACTCAATACATTTTGGTTGTATATTTTAGTTGCCACCGTTCTATGCAACAGTATAAATATTTATACTCTTTTGATTCAAACATTAAATTCGTTTTTCTCGGAATCAAGCAAATGGCATATTGATCAAATCAACAGCAAGATAACGATTGCTCAAAATACAATCAAAAATTATCAAATCCAGGCTGTTAAGGAAATATGCAAGTGCCTTTAAGTATCTTACAAGTGTTAAAGCATAATTTCACCAAGTAGTCTTATAAAAATGGCATAATTTCAAGCTTAATTTATTTGAAATTGTAAGATCATAGGACTGTGGTTTTATTCTTAGGATGCAGACAATTTAGAAACAAAAATAAAAAAATAAAAATATTTTTAATGATTTCTATACAATTTTGACATTTAGCGTTATTTTTATTATTATGAATTTTAATATCGTAATTTTGTGCAACTTTACATTTTAAAAAATATTTTGTTTACAGAAAAACAAAAATTATTTATAATTTGAATATGTATGTACATGTGTAATATTAATATGTTGGGACGGAAAGATTATTAGAAATTGACAAGCAAATGCATTGATGCATAAAATTTTGGGAACTTATTGTGAATAACTAATGTAGAAAATAAATGCGTTATGCTAAAATATATTTTAATCTGTTTAGTTTTAGCATATTTGGCTAAACTATTTAGATGACCAAATGACATTTTAAAATTAGCATCAAGTCATTGATTTAAAAAAAAATCATTGAATATTGATTAAATTTATTTTATATATTGTGACCTTAGGAAGACTTGATTGTATATAAATAATAATTCTTGCAAAAATCTCAACGAGTTGATTATGTAAATCATTTCTAAAATTCTTGTTACCTATAACTTAGTTAAGTTTGTTAAGCTGTTGAATATGGTTTTTACATGGCTACTTTTCTAAAATTAAAAAGTTAACGGGTAATAGATGAATAAAGGGCCAGCTGTCATGTATGTTAGTAACTCTTGTAAAACATTCGTTCGGAAATCTTAGATATTGAAAAAGTCAACTATACTTTTTCGAGCTGTTTTACTTGTTAATCCCAGTTTCAAGAAAGTTAATTCCTGATTGAAAATGATTGTTTAAGCAAGCGTTATAAATATTAAATTTACGTAAACTTATCGCCACATTTTGTGTCTTATTTGCCTTAGAATGATAAGGTATAATAATCTAAGAAAAAATATTTAGGGTTTGAAATTACAAAAATTTTTCTTTAAAAATTTTACAGCAATAAAAATTTCTTATGATTAAGGGAGTAGAAAACACAAAACTATGGGGAATTCATATTTTTTTTTTAAAAGTATAAATTCAATAACTTGCACTTATTTTGGTTTTTATTAATTTTTCCTATATTAGTTTATAATATATTAATACTTGGTTGGTTTTCTAGGAACATGTTAATTTGGAAAATATTTAATTTTCACAAAATTTTGATTTTTTGAAGTGTAATAAATTTTAAAGAGCAATTAAAATTTTGTTTTTTAAGCACTTTTTCATTTAGCAATAATTTAAAACTTCATTTTCTGATTATAAGATGATTAAGATCATATTAATATGTAAATATACAGATGTCTTAAACCCATTCATCTAAAATTCGGAATCATATTTAGCTGTTAATAAAGGTGGTGCGTTATTTTGAAAGTTATTGCTAAAAATAATCCGAAGTTGTATAGAAAATATACTATTAATATTTTTTTGTACAAAAAAAACTACATAGCAGAATGCGAAATTATTATGGCTGTTTACCAGTCTGTAAACTTGCAGTAATGTTACAATTTAACGATATCAGCATTTTCTCACAACATCTTGGATTACAATAACAAGCATATAACATTCTGATGCACAATCATACATAAAAATATAAATATGTACATATCTTCTGGTCGAACCTTTGCATAAGTCATGACTCATAGTATATATGATATAGAAAAATTAAGATCAAAAGGAAATTCGTCAGATCGTCATTATGAATAGAAAGAAGATGCAAAAAATTCTAAAAGTATTTTTATATAGAAGCCTAGAAAATGGTTCGCAAATTTACAGTATAACTTGGTCTCTAGAAATCTATCTCTAGAAATATATTTAGTAAAAATTTATCTATTGGATTGTGTACTAAATTAACATTGAAAATTAAAATATAGAATTTATGCATCAAAAAATTTATGAAATTGAAAAGCTCATTACAGGAATTCGAAAATTACACGCACATTTACAATCGCCTTTCAACACATTAAAATAGAAGAAAAAATCTTATAAATATCATGAATAAAAAGTTTTACATATAATATTAAAAACTGTACAGTTTCAAGAGTTCAGAATTTTTTGATAGGATTAACCTTTAATTGGATTTTTTTTTGTTCGCTTAATAAAAATATTAGAAACTTTAAACTTTATACCGCTTCTAAATATAAAAGTACAAAAAGAAAAAAAAAATAAAACAAACTTCTATAACTTGCAAAATATTGAAATACTCGTAAGACGCATATAAAAACTTTTTTTTCAGCTTCTTCTTAAAAAGTATCTTGAAATATGAGTATATAAGAAAATTCACTTATAATATAATACCTTATATACGAGTACATACATATGTACATTAAAGCAATCATATTAAACACACTAATCTGAACAAGATGGATTTTCTGTTTTACCTTTCCTAATATTCACAAAATTCCTCTTAATTAAAATATTGTATATACATATATAAAATTCTTTTAAAGTATATTAGGTAAAGATTTTGATTGAAATTTTATAAAGGCATATACACACAATGTAGATGTATTTTATTTGAAAGGAAGTTTTATTTTATAAATCTTATTATCATACATAATAAAAATTTCGGTTTAAGGATTATTAGGTATATTATGTATGTAAATTGCGTATATTATGTGTAATAATTACTTAATTCAGTTGGTATTTAGGTGGCAAACAGATCTTATAATAATTATGTAGGTATTTGTATATATACATATATGAATGTATATATAAATTTAGAAAATTTATGAAAAACTTGTTCATATTCTTGTTAACAACAAAGTTAAAACCTCAAAAGGTTTTACAATCAACTTTTAACCAAAAAAAAAAAAAATATTTTTTGTATTTTTATTGCCTACAATTTATTTGTATGTTAATATGTAGGTTGTTATAATATGTTTTGTGTACAACTAACACAGAATAATATTTTCAATCAGCCCGAATAACAATTTGTAACAGATGGTATCGTTAAGTAAAATGCAATCGGTTACCCCATTGTAAACAACGAAGGCTTCGCGAAAAGAAAGAAAAAATTCCGAAGCTTTAAAATAAAAAAATGTAGGAATATTAGCGAGAATTGACGAATTTATAATTTTAGCTAAAACTTTCATTACCAAACGATTATCAGACGGTGATTTTTTAATTGAATTCCGTTGACTCAAGTGGTGGTAATGAGATTCTACAAATCTTGATTTTATTCCTATAGCACATTTCAGAAAATGGAACAATAAAATGTAATCTAACAGAATTTTGCATTATTGTAATTTATATTGTAATGCTCAGAAATGGCATGATAACGCCGCCATTTTGATACATAATATTCTAGATAAAATATTCGGGACTGGATATCCTCTTCTTTCGGGGTGTAGTAAAATAATACGCAGATAATTTTTTTTTTTTAAATTTAAGACAAAGAAATATCGAACTCTGAAAAATTTTTGAACTAAGAATAAAATTTTTTGTAACCGCAATGAGTTGCAGTTTGGATTGATTACGAAGATGAATATTTATCGAAACGGTTCTTCTGTGCTTACTGTCATTGCTATCTTTTGTATTACGAAAGTACCCAAACAATATTAATGAAAATAACAATTTTCAATGTCGGCACAGATGTCAGCAATAATTTCCTTTTCTTTGGTAACAAACAAATGAAAATTTTTTATTCGGGTTCTTGGAAATTTCATTCGCATTATCTTTGTAGGTGTGAAAGTACTTGGAAAATGTACTTGGAATCAAATTTATATAAAAACAAAACAAAAAAATATTTTTATTAAAAGTTTGTGGTTTTTTTTGCGTTCAAGTAATATTTTTGATAAAATGACGATAATAAGACAAGAAAAACGGAAATTTTCTTTCTAAGTAATTATCTCACGTAATGGCTTGTATTAAATAATTCAATTTATATAAAAGTTTTTACTAACGATAAAAAAAAAATTTAACTTTAATGTCGCAAAGGACATTGCTTTTTATTTCTTTTAAATTTGTACTTTTTTCTTTTTTTGCTCTTATTCTCGATGAAGGCTTAAATATCATTCTTATATAAATTCTATAATGTTATACATATAATATTATTATTATATTTTGTTCATGTACTTATAAAAACTGTTCAGGTTTTATTCCTTTCCTCAGTGTTATCAACATCGTTTTCACCATTATTTATTAAAAATAATGAATTCATGTAGCAAGAATAAACAACATTCTTGTAGAAATTACAATGGATTCCTTAGAGTATGTTTTTTTTTTTATTATTCTGCTTTTTTCTTGGTTTTTGCTTTTGAATCGTTCTAAAGAATGAAGATATTATTCTATATGGGTATGAATGTATGTATGTATAACCGAATAATAATAGATATTTTAAATAGATATCTAAGTATAATAATAAAATATTGTATAATAAAATGAAATTATTTTCTTTTCTACCTTTATACTTTATTGTTATACACATATTACAAAATAGAACAACCACTAGTATATGGTATGTATAACAAGAAAATATATTGTATTATTACTTAATTGTTTGTATAGATATATATACATATATTTATAGTAGTATATATTTACATTATCTGTTATGCAAGTATATTTCTTTCTTATATATATACAAAATAATATATTATTTATATTTATTTTTTACCTGTAAAACAGCAAAGATGACAGCAAATATTGTAACAATTAAAAGACAGGCAGCAACCGCAATAGCAGTTATAGCAGTAAATGGTGAACCAAAACGTGATAGGAAATTATTTCCATCACTACCACCGCTACCACCACCATTATTAGAATCACTAAAAATACCATTGTTGCTATCATCTAACCCACCTGTTGATAAAAATTGTTGTTCAGCACCAGCAGCAATTCTTCTTTTTCCGGCTGGTGAAGCATTAATACAACCACCTATATACAGAAAATATTTTAGTAAAAATATGTATGTATGTATGTATGTAATTAGAACGCATATTGTATTTTAAATGAATATTAAAGAACATTGATTGTGGTAAATATTTTAAGTATAGGTATAAGAAATGAAGAAAAAGAAGGGGTTAAAAAAGTTTTATATAGAATTGTAAATTTTTGTTAGATTTTATTTTTTATTTGAAAAAAAAAAAATTAAACTTTTTTTCTGATGTACAAGGAAATTGGTAAAAAAATAAAATAATTTTTTTTTTGACCTAAATGGCAGAATTTTTGCAATTCTATGTACATATAAGTAGAAAAATATTGTTCTTCGTTAAGTAGATGTTGCATACATTTTAGTATGCAATTGCATAAACCAATATTGGTGTATATGGTAACAAAAATAAAATATTATTGAAGCAAAGAGTGAGTGAGTGCTTTTAACAAAAAAAAAAAAAAATATTTTTTATATTTCATCAATTTCTTTTACATATAGAACAGTTTTTTATTTTGTGAAATGTTATTAAAATTCCAATTTCGATTTGTATAACAGAAATATAAAAACAGGAAGAGCAAAGCAATATAGTTGGCATCCTGTTTTTATTTTTTTTTTTTATTTTATTTTTCTATTTTAGTTACTTTATATCTATACCTACTACATTCACATACAAGTATGCAACAAAATTTATCTAATTTATTTTATATACAAAATATTATATTGTATATAGTATGTACCTGTATCTTTGTCACAATGGCAACATGATTGATCATCCGGTGATGCATCCGTTGCACAACAAGGCACACATTGGTTATTTAAACGATCCAAATGTAATGGGAATGCACAATTTTGACATGAATATTGACCAGGACCAGAACATGTACGACATGATTCATGACATGTTTTACATGTTTGTGTTGGTGGATCATAATATTGTGAACCAAGACATTCCATACATAAACCACCATCTAACATAAAATGTAATGGACATGATGTACATGCTAATGGACCAGCACCTAAAATAAAAAATAGAAAAGAGAAAATCGAAAAAAAAATTAAAATTTTATTCAAAACAAAAGTAAATAATATTGTTATAGTAAAATTTAGTAAAAATGTTTGTGGAAAATTATTTTTAAGCATATTTTCAAATTAAATTAGAAATTAGAATGTGCTTATCGTAATTTAATTTAGTTCGACATAATATCTTTGCTTCTATATTTACAAAGTTTAAACAGACTTTAAAATATAAATTTTTTAAATTAAGTTTTAAAAACAAAAAAAAAAAATATCAGCTCAGAAACACTTTTAACCGTAAGAGAGAATTTGGCTTATTTTTACCCCCGCCCCTCGCTTTTAAAGTAACTGTACATTAAAATCCTGGAAAGGTTTTTTTTTGTTATGGCGTAACCACAAAAATATTTAAATCTGCAAGCACTGGAAAGTTCTTGTATTGAAGAGATTTTTATTCCTACTTCACTTCTGGGAGGAGCATAGGGCTGCTGCACGATATTATAGATAACCATGAAGCAGTTTCATGAACGAGCCTACACTAGTTTTATACTAAATGCTTAAGGTTATTGATATTACTATAGAAGAGATAATTAATTTATCTTAAATTAGTTATTATTTTACTATAGAAGAGATAATTAAAAATAAATTGAATTCACTAGGAACATTTGCATTTCCTTCCGCCATCTATATTAACACATCTAGAAATTACCAAAAGTTCAAATTTCGTTAATTCATTCCGACAAATTCTGCATCTTTTAAATTTTATCCTCATCCCGAAAATGTGCAATTATTCTGACACAGTAGTATAATAGTAAGAGTACAATATATGAAGTATAGAAAAGGTGTTCCGCAATGAAAATGTGCTTTTTTACAGAACTTTTTCACTTGAAGTGATCAAAATTTACTTAAAATATTATGGTTTAGAAAAATTTTAAGTTTTTCAATTCAAATTCAGAATTATGAACATTTAGTATAGGTTTTCTGTTTTGTTTTTAATCTACATGTAGATACGTTAATAATTTTGGTTATTCCTTATTACCAAACGCATTGCATATAACAGGGGGCATAATGTGATTGCACTAAATTTCAGATTTCGGGTTTTTGAAAGAAACGCATTTCTCCATAGTACGGAAGCGTATAAATAAAATATTTTTAGATCTATGTCGGTCTGTGTGTTCACACGTGTATTTCAAGTTCGGTTGAACCGATTTTCATGAAATGGCCGAACCGATTTTCATTATATGTGAGCTCATTTTAGCTATGGCACGAATTGACTAACTTTTGGAATATATCAGATTTCAGGGACTGGATCTTTTTACGGACCTACTTTACGTGTTTGCGTATATAAAGAAAAATTACCAATCAAATTCCTGGAAATTTAATACTTAAATTCGGTAACACTTTCACCAAAACTAAGAAATACACATTCCGGTCGGTTAAGGGCTGATCACATCAGAATATTTTTAACTCAAGTAATAGTATGGGTTGAGAAACAAAGTACAGGTCTGACTGAGTTAAAATGCAGATCTATTTACTATATACAATATTGTAATTTCGGAATGTGCAAGCAACGGTTATTTCGCAGTTATTTTACGTAGCCAATGAAAGTTTTTAAAGATAAAATAATATAAATTTTAATATTTTTTTAAAGGAATTAAATAATTCAAATTTTTTTTCTGAAGATAATCTGGAAAAATAGTGCGATTCGCTTAACTACTTCCATTATTAAAATTTTGAATTTGCTCTGTGATCCTGGAAAGATTTTCATCCATTCGCCCATTCTTTGTAAATTTTAACCTAGGTGAAACAACAGCAAGAGGTAAATTTTAATTTAGTCCAATAACAAAGTGTTGGAAACTAATAAATGTCTTTTGTGAAATTAAAAAAAATAATTTAATGCACAAAATAGAATATTTTATTTCATCATTTTTATATTATGCATGTTGTATATGCTACGAAGGATTATGTATCTATACTTTAAAGTTCCAATTTTCATACAGAAAGAGTTTCCATGCATTTGCAAATGCATAATTAAATTAATTTATTTTTATTGTATACAAAGCATAAGAAGCTTTAAAATTTAAAAGAAAAATATTATACATACTTCATTAGCATACTTTAGTTTAAAAAATAACAAAGAACGTTTTACAAAATTTATGAATGCCTGCCTACCTATATGTAGTACACAATCATAAAATGTAAATACTCGTTTATTAGTTGTATAATGTTAACGTGTCTCTTATAGAACACCTTAAATATTAACATGAAATTAAATGTGTATGGGTAGAAATTATATAAGATTTTAAATTGCATTCTTCATTAACATAATAAATATTTTAATAAAATGTAGTAGGGGTGCTACATATATACTTTTTTCTAGTGAATCTACACCACTTATTCAAATCCTATAAATACGAGTACATGAATATATGAACAAACATTTTAACATTAAAATTATTTTTTTTCACAATGTACACACATACATATTTTTTTTATATTATAATAATTTAAACTGGTAAATGCAATGATGAAAAATCCTTAACGCATCCTTGAATTAAGTTTTATTATAATAATGAGAGTACTTCTTTGATAATCTGATATTAACAAAGTACATAAATATTATATTCGTTACATTAACATGTTCATATACATTTGATGTATATAATATGAAGGTAATATTTATGTAGAATAAAAATTTAACGTTCTATAGGTACATCATTAATTTGAATGATCCTTGAATTGAAAATAAAACAGAGATAGTAAAAAAAAATAATATAAAAAACAAACTCCTTAGATAATCATTATAATATCATTATAATTATTATCCCTATATGCTTTTTTTGTGTATTTCATTATATAGTTCTGTTAAATTTCACAATTTTTTCTTGTTGTTTTCTGGGCTAATAACTTACATTATGTAAATGATAATAATAAAAATTTGGAATAAATAATATGCTTGCTGGTGCATAAAATCGGAAGAGAACAGAGTTAGTATTATGAATGAAGTAAGCAATAATATTTTTTCTAGTACAAATAATGAGCAGGCGAGAAATATGAAATTGAGCAGTTATTTAAAACAGTTATTTTGCAGGTATATTACTTTCGGAAAGCAAGCATATGAGCTCCAATCTCTTCCTCAGTATTTCGTATAATTGAATATAATTAATAGGAGTTAATTAAACAAATTAATTTTCAAAAACTCCTTTATTCCCTGTTCTAACAAACAAATATACAAATACAGTAGAATATGTGTAAAGGGAATTTCGAGGAAGGTTTGTCAATTATCCAGGTTTTTCATTTATTTCCGTTTTTTTTTCAAAATTTTACCTGTCAAAGCGAGATTTTTCTGAAATCCACCTGAATTTATATTTTAATTATCCAACAAAATTTGTTAATAAAATAATTTTATAACGTTTTCAGTGTTTTAACAATTTCGATCCGACTGGTACATGTATATACCAATAAATTATTAAACTATGGGAAAACCGGGAAAGGATTATCAAAATTATTCTTTATTTCAGAAAATTTTGTTCAATCAATATTTATTTTGAAATTTGCTGAATTTGCTGAATAATCACGCAAGCAATTTTAAACCAAAATAAAAATACAAATTGTACTTAATAGGTAATCGTAAAAATATGCCACTTATGGAGGTAAAAGTTTTTTGAAATAGTGCACAAAATTCACAAAATTTATTACACTTATGGAGTACATAGACATTCCTCTTATAGAAAGAGATTTTGTTAGAAAAATTAAAGGGACCGGAATAATAATCTCATTTAAAGAGGTTTTCTTCTTCTTCAGATACTTATTATTCAGGTTCTACTGTGTTTATACTTGTTTTCGAAAATTCTTTATTATAATGCTCAAAGTACATGATAAAGGCACTGCTTGTTCCTCATCGTTAATCCTTTGTAATATCATATGTGAATTTCACAAATATTTAAAAAAAAAGGAAATAATTTTCAAAGACTTTTCTCCTTATTGAGCATCTTTATTTTCATTAAAATTTTTTTTTTTGAGTGAAAAAGGAAAAAATTAAATTTCACAATCACAAATACAAATGCAATGGAAATTTTCTAATTTAAACAAAAATTTTTAAATGTTATGTGTATGTAGTCACGTCAAATTATAAATATAGTGTGAATTGAGTCCAAAATATAAATGCAATCATCATATTTCGTTCATTAATTGTGCAATGTGAAAATATTTTCACATTTTGAAAAATTTTTATTATTAAATTATCACATAATCTGATTTCGTTTCTTTTAGAATTAAAAACAAAAAAAATATAGTAAAAAATGGCAAATACGGGGTTCATTAGAGAAATAAATAATTTTTATTCTGTATATATGTACATATACATACATTTTGTGCAGCACTATGATATTATGGTCTTTCTGGCATAACAGAGAGAAGCAAAAAAAAAAAAAGAGAAAAGAGAAAAATGTTGAATTATCTTTGAGTGAAAAGGAATTTTTCATTAAATCAATTTACATACATTATTATTTATACATATACATATGAATGTATGCAGTACATAAAGCAATACAGTACATACATAACATTGAGCATAATTCCAACAAATTTTTTATTAAAACTAAAATGTCTTTATTAGATGTGTATTCTGTCTGTCTGTTAACCGTTAAAGCCATTAATGAATGCAGAACTTATTTAATTAAGAGAATCTTTCTGATTTAATGCAGAGAATCTTTCTGATTTTCCTCCTTCCTTCTCCACTCCCTGCCAATCAATTTAACCCTTTTACAATTTATTGTATCCGAATCGCATAACATATTTTTAACTTCTACTCAAGGTGAGAAGTGACAAATCTTATATCTCTGATAATGGTTTTGAAATTAATTTTGATCCTTAATTTTAACTTGATCATTTGGGCTATTTCTCTTACTACATTCCAATTCGAATGAAATCCAAATTCAAAGAGTTTATGACGTCGATATACGGATATGAATATTTTATTCTATTAAACAATAAATTTTCCTCC